TGCTAAGTACTAGTTGAATTGCTGACTTCGTTTCCACTATAATTTCACTATCATTATGACAATGTTTTGATGAAGTTTAAGATAGAAATTCTTTTCATATTCAAGCGGTGAGCGCCAAAAACTATTTTCTTGAAGAAAGGCTGTTGTACAAGGCTAAAATCTTGTTATTCAGAAAGCTTAACTTGTTTGGAAGTTGAGATGACCGACAAAAGTGGAATCAAAGTTTTAACCCAAAGCAAAAATTTTATTTGAAAATGAGATTTAGGCCTTCATATGCTTATTTTCCATACATTTTCTATAAAAAAGCCTGACAAAGCAACATTCTAACACAAATGCAACAAAACATCTTTGTACAATTGAAAATACCGCTTTAAACACGCAGTTTTATCATAGTACATCAGTTTCTAACTGTTAAAAAAAGGTTTTGAGTGTTAACCCAAAACGAAATTTGGAATCAAAACTCATACAAAGGTCTAGTTTTTGGCGCTTTTTGCCATTATTTCTCGTTATTGAAAAATATTTCCTATAAAAAAATTTTTTTGTTTGAAGAGTTTACAGATGTTTTTGTTTTCTTTATATACTTCATTTTTGCATCCTATTGCATTGGAAATTTCTCGCCAAGTGCCTCGCTCAAGTACATTTCAGATTCAGAGTTTAAAAAATCGAAGCTTTTTTTTCTTCTAAAAAGGTATTGTGATTGTATTAAATTTTTTCTGGGATTAAGTTTATCATTCGTCATTCTACCTCGTAATACAAAGCGTTGATAAAAGAATAACTGATTCTGTAGTTTCTTTGTCATTCAGACATTTTGAAAAAAATATTTTTTACGAAGCGTAGCTTGAAAGAAGACAAATTTTGTACGATACATTTTTCACTCACCTGTAGCAGAAAGTGCAATATATAAAATAGCTTGTATTTTCCTTTATCATCTTGCCACATCATCAGGAAATAATTCGTGTCATAAAAGTTAGAACGAAAAAGGAAAAAGTGTTGTTTTTTTYCCAGAGACGTTGACATTCGAATGTGAACCGTGTAATATTCAGTAACCAGACGTCGATACCAAAAAAAAAGTGATGTTTTCGCAGTCAATCAAATGTCTTGATGCAATCGCGTGCGGCATGTCTGAGTCGCCAATCGGGTTTATATTGGCGGCTCTCTCCCGATCAGATTTATTAGAGAATTGCGATACTAAGTTAAGTTACAGGCCTTTTGTCAAAGTGTCAGGCTATTTATAAACCTCCTTTGCAGCCCTTCTTAGGGTCGTCACGCAACGTTTCCCTAAGAACGGCTGCAAAGGAGGCTTACTATTTGTCAGTTGTTATCCCTATAAAGTGCCAATGTCGACGCCTAATTGAAAATTTTCAGCATTGATTCTAAATGAAATAAAAAGTTGAATAGTAAATTGTTTTTATATGGTTTGAGTGATTCATCTTGAAGATATCAAGGTTTATAGGTTGCTATCAATAGACGTCACTTCCAGTAATAGCTCTTTTATGATGGCTTGTAGAATCCTGGAGGTTGTTTTGATCTCTTGTTTTCTGGTTTGATGTCGTGAAAATAGTCAAATACAATAGTTTGAGGACTTATTTTGATATGTCTTGACTTAGCATCCGCTAGTTGCCCCCTAGTTGCTAGTTGTCAACCGCTTGTTTGCCCCCAGTCAACTCCAAAAAGTCACGTGATTGATAGTAAGAAATACTCCCAATATAATAATGACGTGACGTCAAAGGAGGCATTTCAGTTTACCTGCGCGCCATCACATGGAAATCGAAGCACTGATTACTATGTATTCATTTTTATTTATTTTATTTTTTGCTAGAACCTTTCTTTAAATTCTAAGTAAGACGATGATGTTTTATACAGGATATTTTACTGCCCCAGAAAAATTATTGTATACGTAATGATTTAATGATATTGAACGAAATTTTGAGTTAGGTGTCATAGGCATTTTAAATGTCGGGCTTTTTGTAAGTAAAATTTCAGACTCTTTGTCAGTTGCCTGTTTGATGCATTGGTCAGCTGTCAGCATTTGTCGGCTGTTAGCAGTGCCGCCCCATCCAGACCCTTTTTGATATTCCACAGGTTGGTGGGGACTCCTTCTACTCCGAGGTACAGAGTCCTGGATGGAGAAAATGCACTGTACTTCCCTGGATTCCGAACGTATGCAGAAGTCCCGGCAGTGGTGTTCAATCCCAAGGGATTCACATTCATGTTATGGGTTAGGCCTGCTAATCAGAGTGCTGACACTGATTCTATCTACTCCGATTGGTATTTTCCACATACATTCATATTGACTCTCCATAGACGCTTCAAATCTATATTTTTCTGGATGCGTGGGGAAGACGGAAGGAATGTATCGACTTATTACCTAAAGTATGTGTAACCCCCCCCTAGAATATCAGTATATCGGTCATAAAGCAGAGGCAGTGATTGATTGCCCGCGCAGTCTCAAAAATATGCTCATTTGTAAGCTTTCGAGACCAGATCGCGAATAGTAATTAAAAGGTGCTTTTTGCGGAGGAACAAAAATAGAACCCGAAGAAAAATCCCAAAACACAGGAGAGACGAACCAACAAGTAGTTCCCTAGTGATAACGACTCCAGCCATCGAACCCGGGACCATAGCGGTTAGAAGTTGTAACCATTATAGTTGTTTCTCTCCCTCTTCCCTCATCCTTGTAAAAGAGATATCATTCGAACTAGACAATAGTCCCTTTCAAAGTTGCCTGTGCCATCTTTGAAAGGTAGTCGTGCCTTTGTATCGAAGCGAGACGAACGGTGAGTTTGCAATGATAGAGACCTTTTTTAACACCTTGAACAATTATTCACATGTTTCTATCATTGCAAGCTCACCGTTCGTCTCTCTTCGATGCAAAGGCACGGCTACCTTTCAAGATTGCGCAGGCAACTGTGAAGGGTACTATTCTAGACGTCTAAAATTACTTAGTACTGGTGGGTTAGTAAAAATTTGTATTCGTCGAATGAAATGCGAAATCATTGCCAAATCAATCAAAAACCTTCCAAAAATCGCGTATCAGCGAAGCAATAGCGGCCATACTGCGCTGCGTTTACACAAATATAATTGTACAAAGGTCGGCTTCGAAAAAGTAGCAGTACTGATCATGTAAATAATTGTTTAGAATTGCGATGGATGACTGGAATCACATCGCTGTCACCTGGAACAAAACAGAAAATCTAGTCAAGATTGCTCTGAATGGAATCGTGAGGCGAACGACAAACTCTACACTAAAAGCAGACATCAGGCGCACTACTCGCAGTATCTACCACCTTGGCGTCAATTCAGAAAAATTGCCTACAATCAAAAATGATAATACGTTCCATGGAAACATGAAGCATCTGATGGTATTTAACAAGAAACTAAATGTCGAGGAGATACAAAAAGCAATGTGTAAGTCATGCACTGACTTCCTCCCTCTGCAAAAAATAAACTTCTAAATTCTAATTAGCTCTAGAAGGCCCTAGATGAAAATTACTCTGAGTAATTCTATCGTTTCGCTAAAAACAGTTTCACCAAACTGTGTAGTTTCAGACTCTTTATAAAATCAAAAGATATAACTAGCTAAAAACTAGTGTGAACTGCGTCGGTGTTTCAAATGAAACAGTAATGATGAAAAGGTAAATTATACACCGTGAAAAGATGAAAAAACTTACTGACGTTTCGGACGCTAGTCCTTCGTCGAAGTAAAAGAGGAAGGACTAGCGTCCGAAACGTCAGTAAGTTTTTTCATCTTTTCACGGTGTATAATTTACCTTTTCATCATTACTGTTTTATAAAATTTAGTTTACTTAAGAAATTTACATAAAGTTCTTAGGTTTCAACCCTAGAAGTTAAATTTTCCTCTCGCAAGAATGAGTCAAGTTAAGTTTATTAAGTTAAGTCAAGTTTAGCGAATTCGAATTACTGTATGTCAGTCAACTTACCGTCAAGTTTATATGTTTCCGATCTAAGTTTCTTCAATTGAGCTTCAGTCAGTTCAAGTTTAGTTTTAATGACCCACTCAACGTGAGGTGAGACGACATAATATATTTAGTTTTGAGTTATATTCTATATACTCTGATATTGTCATTAAAGTTTACGTTTTAGGCCCACCATAGTTAATATTAACTATGGGTTCAACTTGGTATGTGCATGTT